GGGGGGGGGGGGGGGGTGTTGATATTTAACTATAATGACTTTCCAAAGCAAATTCTATCCCCATGAGTCTGCTTGCACACTACAACCATCATGCATTCCTGGGCTAACAGCAATAACATAAGCAAAAGCAAACTGTTTGCATAAGCAAAGAGTGAGGCACAATAAAAGTGTCACGGTAGGAAACTCTTAAACTGCACTTCCACAGGTATTTTGGGATTGTTTTGCAGTCATTCAAACTATTAACAGATAGATATACTAAACACCTGAAGTTCCATTTTATGTGCGTCACTTTTGCAGATGCTTACGTGGCTTACTGGGAGTCATTTATTTTATTGTTTCCAAATTTTATGAAAGATATTTGTTGTACTGTTTCTGGAAATAGTTTCTAACTTAATGGCATCAGCTATCAGAACAAGCATTTGTAATATTTACTTCATTAGTTACAATTTATTTGTGTTTTGGGCTTTATTTAAATTTCACAGCCTACTTGTTCTTCCAAATTCAGGACTGAGTCTTTAACCATTTTTTCACTTACTCCAAAAAACATGTTACTCAGTGGGGCCAATATCACCACAAAAAAAATTGAAATGGCTTCCAAGAAATCAGAAGATCTCAGTCTATAATTCAAAAATTCTTTTAACAGCCAAAGCTACCAAAATACTTACATTTTGCAGTTATATTCAAGATTGACAACATAGAGTGTGAATCCTGGCACTTCAGCCAAATGTTGATTACTCATTCTGTAACATAATTCACAGGTAATTCCGTAATGTGGTTGATGCTTTTGCTGGGAAATCACCTTCTTTTTAAAGCAACATTCAGTAGCCTTTTGACTAGTCAGCTTATGTTGCCTCTTTGTCAGGTTTTTTTTCAGTAAAGCATTCCAACTAAAGAGTAGAAGGAAGGACACAGCATTCATTTGCTTCAGTAGAAATCTACAAGGACCCATTGGTTCTTCTAAGAAATCAGACTTGGCCATCTCTCCTATTAAAGCTTCTGTTGTCCACTAAACAGATTATTCAACTTATTCAGAGTTCATTCAGTTCTTTCTATTTTATTCTCTCCTGAGAAGTTGGAAAACACACATCCATCCACCCACACTCACACATATACACATACTAGTGGAAATCATGATACCATATTATAGTACATAGTTGTAGTTTATACTAGTATATTTTATAAGTAAGCTTAACAGCAATCTACAGCACTGGCACCATTTTTCTTAGCATTATTATGTTGGGGATTTTCTTTTTTAGATTTTTCTCATGCTTAATAATAAAACACATTCCTATCTGTACTCTTGAGTAGAACTGTCAAAAGGGTGGAAATCCTTTTGGATGCCAAGATTTAAAAATTTGACATCTTTCCATTTTGAAACAAAACAGACATATTTTTCATTTTTTTGCAAAAGAATTTTCTAGAGGGAAAGTTATCCTGAACTCAGGAAAGCATTTCATTTCTATAAAATCAACACATTACATATGCATTGTTATTTCTTAAAATAATACTTCTTTCAAGAAATCAAAATTTTTGTAAAATATAAAAGCAGACAGTCATAGTTTACTCAGGCTTTTTCCAGGAAAAATATTCAGATCAATTCAGTCAAATACTTATGACCTGATGAAACTGTAATTTCCAATGGAAAATTGGTGCCAGCAAAACCTCTTACCTTTACATTGATTATCTGAATGAATACAGATGGAAAAGTAGATGAGGGCCTCCACACAGGTAGAACCAGTCTCACGTTCACAGGCCCTGCTCCTCATAGAGGACTCCAATCACACCAATTTCTGCTAGAAGGAAAACATAGCAGGACATAAGCAATCCAGGAAGTTCCTGGAGTGCATTATATTAAATTCCTTCTCTAAGTGACTGAAGAGCAAACAGGGAGATGTGCTCTCCTGGACCTCATACTCACCAATGAGTAGTTAATTTGGGGATGTGAAGATGAAAGCCACAGACACAGTGAGGTGCAGTGACCATGAGATGGTGGAGTTCAAGATCTTGATGGCAGGAAGGTGGGCAATAAGCAATCTTACAGCGTTTGACTTCAGGAGAGCAGACTTTGGCCTCTTCAAAGATCTGCTTAGAAGAGTCCTGGGGGATAAGGTCCTGTGGGGAACGGGAAGCAGAAAGATGATTAACATTCAAAGATCACTTCCTTGATGGGGAGTTCTATCCCAATGCATATAAGTCAGGCAAAAATGCCAGGAGGCCTGTGTGGATGAGCAAAGGGCTCCTGGCAGCACGTAGACAGAAAAAGGAAGCATACAGAGAATGGAAACAAGGACAGGTAAGCTGGGAGGAAACCAGAAACAATGTCCAAGCATCTAGAAACTAAGCTAGGAAAGTTAAAGCCCAGACTGAATTGAATTTGGCCAGAGATATCAAGGACAGCAAGAAGGCCTTCTACAAGCACATGGAATCAAAGAATCAGAGAATTGTCTAGGTTGGAAGGGACCTCTGAGATAACCAAGTCCAACCATCAACCTAACACTGACAAAAACCATCCCTAAACCATATCGCTAAGCAGTATTTTTAAATACCCCCAGGGGTGATGATTCCACCACTTCCCTGAACAGAACAGGATTCCTATGATTCTATGATAAACTACTACCACAACATAGACTTTGGGCAGAAAGTGAACATAGGCAGGAGGTCAACCTTTCTTCCCTGAGGAGGCAGAAGAGCGCATTCATGTGTGTAAGTTTTAGTTCAACAATAGAAGTCCAAAGTAATAGCTGGCAGGAACCAGCTCAGGGTTGATAATATTTATTGTACCTAATAAAACAAGTATGCCTCTCTGTCCCTGTGCTACTCATTTCCCCATCACAATTTCTTCCAGAGCTTGCCTGACTTCCTCTGAGATATCAAGTCTTCAGCCCTCTGTAAAAGAAGCTGAAGAGTGACTTATTTTTGCACATTGTAGGCTCTCCACTGGCATTGCAAATCTTCTGTGAATAGACCCTTAAGGAAGAACAGACAAATGGGGACCCTGTGGCTGCAAGTGGTTTCGGGGAATGTAAGTATAATGGATTACATCTGGAAATCAATTCACACTGAGTCAGAATTTTTGGGTTGATTTCTTAAGACATACATACATGCACCTGTGTATGTGTGTGTAAACATATGTGTGTGTGTATACATACGTGTGTATATATACATATATATATATATGCATACTTAGTATTATAACATAAGAGGACAAATATAAATTGCCTCTTAATCAAGAGGGTGCCTAGGGTTTTTTTGTCAGTTTTCTATAGCAGCAGGGAGCTTGCTGAATTTGACAGGCTACTTAATGTGAAATATGCTCCATCTGTTAATTGCAGGATTCAGTGTTGCTATTTCAAATGCTTACCACCAAAGCTTCATTTTGCTTTTCTTATAAAATCTGCATAAATACCATGTTTATAGTCTAAACAACTTAGATTCAATTAAATTGTGCACAATCAAAGGAACTTGATATTGGAGACAATGCTTTAGCAGCTCAAGTATAACTTTGCCTTTGAGGAAACAGCTTATAGCTAGTGATGGCAGGAGGTAGTTGCTAAAACCCATAGCTCTTCTGTTCCATGATTTTACATATTTTGTTACAGCAGCAAGGTCACTTTCAAGAAAACTGGATAAGGAAAAGACTCACATAACAAATTAATTTTTTTTTTCATTAGAAGAGATAGTATTCCCTGGAGAGGTTTCTTAAGAAATAGAGCATACCCAGGAGAAGTTTCCCTAAGAGATCAGCCAGCACTGAGGGTCATATACTCTCCCATATGCTGGCATAAAAAAAGCAAACCAAAAGAAGGCAGATACAAGTCAGTGCTGCTTTATGCAGTGTATGGGATGTGAACTGGTTAAGATTGCTCCACCACTGAGTGGCGGAGCACACCAAATAAACCAAGGCATATGTTTGTCAGAAGACACTAACAATCATGTTAATGGCTGTGAAGCCAGGGTTCCGTGCATATTCATAGTACCTACATCATAAAAAAAAAAAAAAAAAAAAAAAAAAAAAAAAAAAAAAAAGAAAAGAATAAATCGAGGTAAAAGATGAAACACAGCAGAGAAACCGGCTTGTTCAGCTTCACCCCATGGTGTCAGCAGTGCGGACAGTCATGGACTGTTGCACAACAAACTCTCTGCCCGCCCATACTCCCCTTGCACGACTCATGGAGCTCTACTCCACTGTCAGATGAAGAATCATTAAGCTACCAAACAGCAGTGAAGGACGGGGAACCCTTATCTGTCTCAACAATAGCCCATGCTTGTCTGAACAAATGTCTCCAAAAGGTATAAAAAATACATGGTGTCAATATTAATTCTGCCTGTGCAGAAGATAACAGTCAAATTACAGAAGTTCGGAGATGGTGTTGACCACATGTTGGAAAGACACCCTACACCCTCCTGTGGTTGTGTCTCCGGGTCAATAGCTCTTCTATCAATAGAGGACTCAGGACCTCAGCTCTGCTGTGCTTTACACCAGAGCAACATCTACTTTTCTGTTTGTTGCTTCTTTATACCATTTTACTGCAGCTCACGTAGTATTACCATGCTATGTAAATAATAGACTCATAGAACAGTTTGGGTTGGAAGAGGCCTTTAGAGGTCATATAGTCCAACCTTCCTGCAATGAGCAGGAACATCTTCAATCATAAGAATAATTTGTTTTGAAATAAGGTTGCAGAAATGTTTCATTTCACCTACAGCTAGACCCAGGGACAGCTTATTTTTCAAGATACTTTGTGGAACCAGAAATTATCTGCCAAACTCAATCAAACTCAGCTAGGGCAGTCAGTCAAAAATTAGAAATAAAGGACACCTTGAAACATCTCAGCTTTTATTGACAATGCCATTCTTGTGATAAGAATTGCCAATAATTTTTGCAGAAGAAAGTCCAAATCAGACCATATTGTAGCATGGGTCAAACAATAATTTTTTTAACCCAAACAATACTTTTTTTCTTTCATCAGAAAAAAGGGGGACTTTTTTTTTGTATGCTTTTTCTGTGTGTTGGGGTGGGGAGTTACATTTCCAATTTACCTGAAAATAACTTCAATTTCTCCTCCATTTTTTTGGTTCAGCAAGGAAACTTAAAGCATTTAAAGAACCTAAAATGATTCTTGTTTTTTTCTAAAAGCACAAATCAAGTTCTCTTAAAGCATTTTCCAGTGTTGCAGGTGTGAAAAATTGTTGTAGCAAGAGCAAACATATAAAAAAAATTGCTGGATTTCACCTTCTGGACACCTTTCAATGTTGTGATCCATTCTGACTGTCAGGAGCAAATGCACAATTTTCACTGAGGAATATATCCATTACTTAGGCTGAGGAGACATCTTGAGCATAAGAAGCTAACAGGGTACGGTGGAACCCTTTTTTTACTTTTTCTTGCTCAAATGCATGAATGCAAGATCAGAAAGGGGCTCCAGCTCTGACAAGTCTAACTTCTTGGACAACAAGTAGCTCAACTCTGCTCTGTTTTTGTAGACTTTCCCATCACACTGTTCACCCCAAGTTCCTGCCATTTGTGCCGTGAATGCTGTGACTCAGGCTGGCCTTATGTTATCTCAACACCCCAAAGCCCAGAACACCTTTCATGGCATGTTTGATATCAACATTTTGGCTGTTTGTTTGTTGGAAGCTTGTGTGGTTTACTTTTTACTCCTCCAGCTGGTCTGAGGGCTGTGTCTGTTTCTTCTGTAACTACATTTACGTTGACATGTTTATACCAGGTCCAAGAAGCTCTTGGGGAGGTTCAAATGGCCTTTCCTTCCTGAACGACTTCATCCCATAATCTCTGGGACCTCAGAGAAGCCTCTGCCCCCCACAAAGAGAAAAGTCCTTTTGGATGGGATCTGAAGGACTCTAGTTCTTAATATAATTGTCTTTTGAAGTTTGCAGAGGTCTCTTACAAAATTTTGTTCTTAGGCAATGGATGACTTCAAAACTGAGACAAAGACAATTGTGAGGTAGGAAGTAATAATACAGATTGTTGACTGTCAAGTAATTTTTGCTAAAAAACCACTGAAGATGGTCTGAAGATATGGAATGCAGTAGAGTTCAAATCACGAGCAAGTGTGAATCAATCTAAATTCCACAGAAAGAAAGAAAACTTTGTGTCAGTTAATCTAAAAGCCATGCAAGGAAATGCTTTGAGACAGAAATTAGAAAACATCCAGACTTTAAAAATCTCATCTTTCCCTTTTGTCTATCCATACTTTATCCATATTTTCTCTCCAGGAATAAATGGTCTATGCAATGAAATGTTTAACAGTAGAAACCATTTCTGTCTTATATTCCTTTTTAATTCCTTAGCATACTTTATATATTTTTTTAACCTGAGAGGTAATTCTTGAGGAATTTTTCAATGTACATGAACTATGTTTTTGAGTGGCTTTTTCTTTCTGCTGGGAATTATCAGGATAAAACTCTTTTGACTATTCTTTCCATATAATGTATTTCCTAACAATATCCTTTATTTTCCTCAGTTTAATACTACTGATTCCTAGAACTCTTTATTTTCTCTAGAAAAACTTATAAAAGAATAAATAAAGTAGGTAAAATCTTCCATAAAATCAGTCAAAATGAAAGTAAAAAGTCTTTCAGGTAGGCTTTATCTCTCTGGACTTCAAAAAGCTCTTTTCTTGTTCTGTCAGAACATTATTCAAGCTCTGCAAAATACATTGTATATTAAAAATAATAGGCCATTAGTATACACTGTACAAAAGATTTGGATATTTTAATTTAAAAACCAATTGATCAGATGATTTTGCTTTGTCAGACATGATCATCTCACTGATACTGTTCCACCTGTACAAGGGAGTTATTGTGATATTGCTGGCCAGGCACTTAATGCTTTGTTATCTTAATCACTAGATAAATCATGAAAGCTCACACCCTAAAGAGGAAAAATAAATTTGCCTGGAGGAATGTGGATGTCCTACAGAAAGTTTCTAGCCACCAATATTTTTCTTTGAATGGGAATGGTTTAGACTGCTTTAAAAGAAGGTTATTAAAATTGTATGTTTTCTATAAGAAAATATTTTGCAATACTTGAGTAGATTTAAAATAAAAATAATAGGAAAGAATTTAGAAAAACATTTACTTTATAAGAT